TATGTTAGTGGGAGAAAGTTCAGGTTTTTAATGCCCTCTTTGAAGACGGGTTCAATGAAATGTTAAATGAGTCAGTGATAAACATGCAGAAATAGGACCTAGCCTTTTGGGTTGTATCTTTAAAAACTTCTAGAAATTAGACTCTCATTACTTGTCGTCTGATCTTAGAACCATAGAATTTTGTTACTGTAAAAAAAAACTTAAGGGAGAAACCTTTCTAAACCCTTTCCTCCATTTGTACTCAGCATTTACTTTTTAAAAATTTATTTATTTATTTATTTATTTATTTATTTATTTATTTATTTATTTATTTTGAGGCAAGGTCTTGCTCTGTCACCCACGCTGGAGTGCAGCCTCAGCCTCCCACGTACCTGAGATTGCATGTGCACACCACTGAGTCCAGCTACATTTTTTTTTTTTTTTTCCTGTAGAGGCATGACTCTCTGGGTTGCCAAGGCTGGTCTCAAACTCCTGGGCTCAAGCAATCCTCCTGCCTCAGCCTCCTGAGGTGCTGTGGTTATAAGCATGAGCCACTGCACCTGCCTAGAATTCACTTCTAAATGCTAAATTTGGCATGGATTTGACACCATAACATTATGGAATTCACTTTAATAGTTTTTCTTTTCTAATTTTGATGTATTTGGACATTAAATCTAGAAACCTAAAAGAAGTAATTTTTAGAGACTGAGATATTTTCTATCAGAAAATAGAGCTAATGGGAAGTTGAGGTCTGAAGAAAGTAAAATAGAATTATAATGCAGAGGCCATTGATTTTTGTGTTGCAGAGGCCAGGGAGGGGTAAAGAGAAGGAGGTGTAAAAGTGCAGTGTCTGAGCCAGAATCACCAGGTGGTTCAAAACACATAATGTTCAGTTCAGTTATATGAATCAATGCAATTAAGTACTTAGAACAGAGGCTGAAACAGAAGAATAAAGTCTGATACATTTTAGCTATGATTTAAATGATTTGCTGCTCACTTTTAAATTTAATTTTTACATCACTTTAAACCATGACTGTTAAGTAGTTCAACTAATTTTTCTTCTTTGAGCCTTATATAAATATATTTTGTTTTTATACATGTTAGGCAAACTACTAACGAAGTAATTTACCTGTGTAATCTTATAAAAATTAACTTAACCAAAGAGATGGAGACCACATGAAAATGGCATTTACATAAGGAGAGTTGAGGCTGGGTGTGGTGGCTCATGCCTGTAATCCCAGCACTTTGGGAGGCCGAGGCAGGAGAATTGCCTGAACCCAGGAGGCGGAGGTTGCGGTGAGCCGAGATTGCACCATTGCACTCCAGCCTGGGTAACAAGAGCAAAACTCCGTCTCAAAAAAAATAATAAATAAATAAAATATACTGGAATATAATATACGTAAAATGTAAAATGTAGTAGTGATTCCTATGTTATTACATTTCTTATTCTTTTATTCATCAAATATTTATTTCTCAGCATTCATAACCTCTTCATTTTTCTTAATCTTAAAGATTAAAGACCAATTTTTACAGTTTTTTCTTCTCCCAGGCTAATTTGCTACCATATTCAGTGTCATTCTCTATATTTTAGGAATTGTATGATTAAAAAGCAAAACAAAACAGAACAAAAAAGCCCTTGCAGACAGGGAGAAAAGATCAGTGGTCAGAAAGGGACCTGCTATCCTGGGGCGCTGGATGGGAACCCACTATGGAGGACATGGACATCCTGATGTTGACTATATAATGTGACATCTTCAAAGCATTCTATTCCAAGTCTTTTCACTATGAAATGATCAATGACCTGAACTGCCAACTTCCAATTCTCATTGTAAACATTTTAAAATTAATGAAGGCTTAGTAAATACTGCATTAAAAAATTATTTGGGAATTCAAAAGAAACCCTTGAAGATCTGAGAGTAACTAACTAATAAAACAGATATCCTCTTGGATCACCTATAGTTGGATTTACTTTGTTAAATCAGAAACCTGTGGAGACCAGCCAAAGACACAGTCAGTTCAGTTAATCTGAGTCTGACAAAGATGGCACATTGTTTGCTTTGCTTTTCCTGATCTTCATAAAAACTAAATAAATCCTTAATTCCACCACAGCAAATAAATATGCTTGGTTTAGAGAAGCCGCCATGGAAGAGGTGGGAAAAGTGCAGATAAAAGATACATGGGTGTAAGAAGTGAGAACGGATAGGGAACATGTAAATTAATCATTTTCATTTTTAGTTAGATTTTTTTCTTCATTGTATAGATAATTCTTTGTGCCAATGTCATTTATACTAATGGCAGAGTAAAAACTGTAGAAATATTTCACAACTATTTGTGTAACACGTATGGCATGTATTTCGTCTTGGGAAGAGTTCTTGGCTTAGGGGAGTCTGTGACATGGAAGTGCATTCAGAGCAGTGGTGAGGGCCGCGAGGCCAAGTTTCACTTTCCTTTGCAATTACTGCCTTTGGATGTGCCCATTTTCTCTCTATCTCTTTCTAATGACCTCTTTCAAAAACTTTCAAAAACTCATATATTTTAATTGCCTTCTCCCAAATATTTACATTTTCATACAATTAAAGATGTTATATGAGTTAGTTGTACTCTTCTGATATGCAAAAGACTTAGACTGTGAGACCCTTAATTCAACATGTAACATATGCAAAACAGGGCAGCCAGATATCTGAAAATAAAATTATTGACAATATGTGCTACTGTGTTCAGTTGTTTAATAATAAGCATTTGGGGGCCAAATATGTATGGGGATAAAAATTGCATAATGTGTCCTTTACTTCTTTCTTAGAACCTAGCACTGAGAGCTGAGCACTTAGTGGGTACTTAGCAAATGCTATGGATTAACTAACGTTTGTATTAATTATGAATTTATAATAAGGTGAAAACACTTTAATGGATGATGATGCAAACATTTAACCTTCATGTAAGTTTAGCCGTATCTTCTTGAATCTGTTCCTCATCTTTTCCAAATGGATTCCTTTGTGGTTTTCCTGTATATATAAGAAATGCTCAAATGGTTTCATGAAAATTTTTATTGGCTATCTGTTCTACCTGGAATTTCAGCCACTTGCTTTATATGATCATAGACAAGGAATCAATGGGGAAAATATTTCATAAAATCAGCAAGAGAAATAGTGAATAGAGGTTATTATAAATCTGATTATGAGCAAAATGTTAAGGTATTGCTTTATAAAATTTGATAGAAGTGCTAAGCAAAAATGATAACTTTGTTCTGTAGGATTGATTAATGTGCATGTGGTTGTTTCAGAGTAGCATTATCATCTTATTTTTTAAATCTGTCTGGTACTTTTAGTCATTTTAATGATATTATATGGAAATAGCATTATTCTGAAGTGATGATATAAAAAATACCACGTCCTGAACTCACAGATCTGCAAAGCCCAGTATCTTTCTCACAATAAGAGTAGTATTTGCTGATTGTTTCAAAAGGCTAAGTCTGTATTATTCTATCAACATTAACTTACATAAAGTCAATATCAATGACTTTTCAATAGCAGCTTGCTTTAGTTGTTTCCCATTTGGTATGCAGTATATATAAAATTGAGAGAGATTTAAATCATTGCTAGAAATGAGTCTATAACCTGACATAGTGAAACTGATAGATACATAGACCATCGCTGGAAGTGTATCTATACCTCGATACAGCTTCCCCCAATTATGTTAAAATTATTACCTCATAAATTAACATTTCAATAGAAGTCTATTAGACAGCACATCCCTGAACTACAAATCTGATCATATTACATATCATTGTCATGTCTTTTGCCTCTAAATTTGGAGGCCCTATCAAGAATATTAAGATTGTCTTGCTTCTCTGACTCTAGAATCATAAGATCATTTTACTGACTGATTTCAATTAAGTGGTCAGGAATTAAAAATTAAATATTATTATTATTACTATTAAATGTCACAATGTAAGAAGAAGGACAGTTTCTATAATCTTCAAATTTAGTACAACTTTTTCTTTTTTACATTTAGAGTATGATTACACTCATTCTTAGAAAAGTACTCTTCTATAACAGTCTATGTAATATAAATTATTCTGTTCCAATATCCAAAAACATTTATGATTAGCTTCTATGATTCTTTATGAAATAGCATTTTATAGCATTACTTGGGTCTATATGATATGTATAAAACAGTGTATTTCAATTTACATGTGAAAAATGTTAAATTATTCAGTATCAATATTAGAATACCATCTGTATAAGACAAGTGGGCTACGGAAGCTAATAACTGGCACCATGTACCAGCTGTTAAATTGTCACTTTATTTGCATTGCTCTGTTTAAGCTTTAATACTGTGTCAGTTGAAGACTTTAATCTTTGTTTTGAAGATGAAGAAACTAATATTCTACTACTTTTCAGGTTTAATTAACTTAAGATTTTCCTCTTAAAAATTTGTTCTTGATTTTTAAAATTATATTAATTTTCTTCTAAGTTTTTTCCAATTGTTGGTCAGTATTTTTAGTAATAGAGTTGTTAGTTAGAATTAGTTATAATGTTAATCAAAGTATAACTGTTGTCTATAAATCCCAGGAGGTGGGGAGTACCTCTTCCTAAGTGTGAATAGCACTTAGCATAGTGCTGCTTTGAGATACAAAAGAACTGGAAAAATCTAAAGCTGTGCATGTTCCAGAAAGTGGACATAATTTCATTTTGTGTTGGTACAATAAATGATATGAAATTGTCCTCTTTAAGTCATTTGAAAAATGTAGAAATTTCTTAGTTTAAAAAAAAACTTTGTTGAAATGAAGTTGCCAAATTCATGTTTCTAATGAATACTTACTTTATTGCCTCTCTGAATCCAAAACACTGAAATTAGTCTCTCTTAAAATAATAGATTCAAGAATCTAATGCAAAAAGGAAAAAAAAAAAAAAGAAGAGATCAGAGTCTATCTATTCTCTGGGTTATATGCTTGAGTCGGATCAGGACACCGTTTCCCTCATTACTTCACTTATTAAAGGCTTGTTTGTTTCTTCTCTCAGAATGGACTCAACGCTCTCCATCTGGCTGCCAAGGAAGGCCATGTGGGGCTGGTGCAGGAACTGCTGGGAAGAGGGTCCTCTGTGGATTCTGCCACTAAGGTAATATTCATGCTGGTAGAATTTATTTTCCTTAGAAAAGAGAAAATTATTTAAAGCTTTTTATTTGTATTTATTTATTTTTCTAGACAAGGTCTCTTTCTGTTGCCCAGGCAGTAGGACAGTGGCACAATCACGGCTCACTGCAACCCCCACCTCTTGAGCTCAGGTGACCCTCCTACCTCAGCTGCCTGAGTAGCTGAGACTATAGGCATGCATCACCATGCCCAACTAACTAAAATTGTTTTTTTTTTTAGTTTAGACAAGGTCTTGCTATTTTGCCTTCCTGGGCTCTAGCAATCCTCTTACCACAGCCTCCCAAAGTGGGATTTTGGTGTGAAACACCACACCTCGCCCACTTAAATCTTCTCTTTCCTCTTGCACATTTCAGAGGTTGGTTAGAACACCAAGATTCTTGACATGCAGAATTAAGATAGAAATCCTCTCCATTAAACTTTGCAGAATTTGAATTGTTTCATTTAAGTATTTATAGGACATGAGTCTGAAACATTTGCAAACCTGGTTTCTAATATTTTGTATTTCCCCCTTTGATTCACAAAGAGGACCAGATTAACACAATCCTTTATAGACAATAGCACCTGTTTTCCTAAGGTTAATTTATTTTTTCAAAATACACTGATGTGGGAAACTTCTGTATGGAAATGAACAAGTAATTTTTAATGTATTTATTAAGTTTGGTATGAGAATATGCAGAATCCTTTATACTCTACTAGAAAAGAGATTTGGGGTCATGGATTGAATTATTAGGGTAATGTTAGATTTTATCATCATAATGTGTTTGGTAAGGAAATTGGACTCAGTTTTAAAGAAATGCACAGGACACTTGGTAAACCAGAAACTGTTCCTTCTTGATGTTGCTTTTGCTGAAACATTTTTGAACTTGTTGAGTATTTATTTCATAAACAACAGGCATTAAAAAAATAATCAATTTTTGTCTTTGGAAGGTAAAGTTTTATTTGGAAAAATACAGTGCTAATCTGAGCCAAGCCTGCTGACCAAGCCTAGAACGTGATAACATGGGTGTGGAAGATGCAGAGAGAGAAGTCAGACACTTTGGTTTCTAGATGGGACATTAGTCTAATCTGGAGTAAACAAACAAACAAAAAAGGACAAGAATAAATTAGAAACATGACCAGTTAACCTGGATTTCTAACACCTCATGCATAACTCCCAAAGTGTGCACTGGTTCTGCTTATAGCATAGTAAATAGCAATTCTAGCAGACATTAAAAAACAAAAATTAACAACAGTCTGGCAATTCCACAGAAGTAAACATGTGAATTCTCTATATGAAATAAATTTCTTACGTCGAACTTAAAAAGAGAGTAAGTATTTTTATTAACATTTCTTTCTGGCACATAAAATAAATTTTAAACAGATAAAGAATATCTGTCTGAAGCCCAGTGCACTGGCTCACGTGTATAATCCCAGCTACCTTGGAGCCTGTAGCTCAAGGAGCACTCAAGTAAGCCTAGGAGTTTGAGACTGCCACTGTACAACCTCACCAACATCTATTATTTTTTGTCTTTTTAGTAATAGCCATTCTGACTGGTGCGAGATGGTATATAGTTGCCCATGTTAATATAGTGTATTCATTAAGCCAATTATTTTTGCTTGCTTAAGTGTTTATTACTATTTTTGTTTTCCCTTTCTTCTAAACTCTACTGATATTTAAAAATTAGGTTTACTTTTAATCATAGATTAGCATTGTAGAATTTCCCAGAAAAAAAAATCTCATTTAAACAGAAGGAAACTGAGGCCATCCATATTAAGTGAGTGGCGAATGCTCCCACAGTGAGCGGGAGACAGAAAGAGAACTAGAGTCCAAATGTTATGGCTTGGAATCTACTGGTTTCTGTTTTTCTTTGTTGTTGTTGTTTTTTTTTCTTTTTGTTATTTTAATTACATAACAGGTAGTTTTAATCTCTTGGCCTTAATTTTATTTTCACAAAAGGTTTAAATTATTTTTCATTGGTGCTGGTGTTATGGATGATAAATTTCAATGTAGTAAATGGTAGAAAATTATTGTAATGTTTTGATTTATGTGAAATTTATTTGTTTTTATTTGCAACATATCCCCTAGTGCCCTAGTAGGCGCAAACACAAGTGTAAGCAGTTATTCTCTACCACTGAAAACTCCTAGGTTTCTTTGAAAAGTGAAAGAAACTCAATGCTTCAGTAAACTTTTTTTAAGTTAATATTTCTTTGCAGTGGGGTTCTTAAATTGCATGAATCTCATGAGATATTGACACACACAGATGTACACAAACACACCCTGCAAATTTTTGATACATTGAAAACTCAGTCATTCTGTGTTAACACTATATCAATATTGTGAAAATAGAAAAGGAAGATACTATATGAGGTGGCCAATTGTGTGTGTGTGTGTGTGTGTGTGTTTAATGGTAAAAAATAATCCCTTCATAAGTGGGCTACTATCTTGATAAAATAACAAATTTTAATCAGTCAAAGTGATTAGCAAAGTTGAAAATACCTGCACATTTTGATTTCTACAAAATCCAGAAACGTTGAACATTGTCTATTTTGTCTCTCCAAAACAGAAGGGAAATACTGCTCTCCACATTGCATCTTTGGCTGGACAAGCAGAAGTTGTCAAAGTTCTTGTTAAGGAAGGAGCCAATATTAATGCACAGTCTCAGGTATTACATTCAGATTTTCCCTAATGTACATATATTTAAATTGTAACAGTGTTGTGAAGTTGATTTAATGGGTTCAGCTAGATGTTCTTCTGATAAATTTATTATAAATACTTTGTTATTTATTTTAGCCAAATTATTTTATTAACTTCTATGATGAAATTAATTTTTCAACATATAATCTCCCTTTTCATGTAACTTAACACTTGACAAATGTGAGTCTATCATTGTCTATATTTTTCAAAAGAATATAAGGTTATTTTTTTCAGAATGACAGTGACATCTGTGAAATATGAATTATTCACACAAGTTTCATGTTACTCTATAAAAGTATTCTCTTTCCATAAATTTAAAATACTCTCAAAAGATTTGCATTTTAGGGGGAAATCTGCTGTAAGGTGGGAATCACACTACTTTGGTCACTTTACACCCCTAATGTTAGCTTTACTAATAATAAATAGGAAATGTGTGGTTTTAAAATGAAATTAAGAAAAAAATTAAATAATAATTATTTAATTAAAATTTTACTACAAGCTTGACACCCCCCCCTTTTTTTTCCTGGTAGAAAAGGGGAGAAAATGTTTTGCCCAAAACTTTACTCTTGATATCTATCATATAGTGTATGCATGTAGGGATTGAGAAATATATCTTTATAATAAAATTCATTTTCTCTATTTTTAGGCTTTTCTCTTTTGCCTCTCTAATAACGCAGACTAAACCATGGAGGATATTAAGAAAATAAGCCAATTCTGTTCCATTTGTCTTTTGGGATAACCTCACCAGCTTGCATTTTAGTGGGAAAATGCAATTCTAAACTTTATAGGCCATTGTGTAGGAATACATATTAACTACATAGTTCATTCATTCATTACCTAGGCATGGCTCTAGTTCCATAGATGGCACAAGTTCTAGATCTAGAAAAAAAAATGCAGTGGTTAAATCAGCCCTATTTTCTTTGATTTTAGTTTTGGGAAAATCTGTTGAAATTCTGATGGGTACGACATATTTTTATCTTTGTAATATCATGCTATTTTAATTAGTTATATTTTTTCCCTTACAACTCAGACGTTTAGTTGGATACACATCATGCTTTAACATGTATTGAGAATATGCCTTAGTCTAAAACCCTTATTAGATGAAATTTTTATAATTTCGTACCATCTGTAAAGGACATCTGTATATTCTATAAAGTATAATAGCATTTTAAGCTTGGAGAGAAAGGTCCCTGCAGAAGCTACTGCTCCACCATAAGTGACTAAAAACTTTTCTTCTCTTTTCTAAACTTCATTTTATTTAGATTCGAGGGGTACATGTGCATGTTTGCTACATGGATATATTGTGTAATGGTGAGCTTTGGGCTTCTAGTGAACCCATCACCCAAATAGTGAACACTGTACCCAATAGGTAATTTTTCAACCTTCAGTCCTCTCCCTCCTCCCCACTTTTAGAGTCCCTAGTGTCTATTATTTCCATCTTTATGTCCATGTGAACTCATTGTTTAGCTCTTGCTTCTAAATGAGAGCATGCTATATTTGATTTTCTGTTTCAGAGTTATTTCACATAGAATAATGGCCCCCAGCTCCATCGATGTTGCTGCAAAGGATGTAATTTCATTCTCTTTTATAGTTGCCTAGTATTCCATGGTGTATATATACCACATTTTCTTTATCCAGTCAACCATTGATGAATGCTTAGGTTGATTCCTTGATTTTGCTATTGTGAATAACACTGCAATAAACATGAGTGCAGGTGTCTTTTTGATATACCAATTTCTTTTCCTTTGGGTAGATACCCAGTAGTAGAATTGCTGGGTATAATGGTAGTTCTATTTTTAGTATTTTGAGCTATCCCAATACTGGAAAACCTTTCATTTTCAAGAGAACATCTTTTTTCTTTAGACAGAGGTTCTGCATTATAAACACCTGCATGGCTTGTTAAAACCCACGTTTCTAAGCTCCACCCTAGGGTTTCTGATTCGGTTCTGGAGTGGAACCTGAGAATTTTCACTTTTTACAAGTTCTCAGATGATGCTAATGCTGCTAGTCCAGGGACCACATTTGTGAACTACTGCTTTAGCAAATGTGAGTGAAAACTGGGTGTAAGATATTGCAGTAAGATTCACAAAGTATAGATTCAACTACATGACTGAATCAATAATGCACTTAATAAAGTATGGAAATGAAAGCCTGGTTAAATTCAGTTGTTCCTTGGAGAGTCTCCTGACTTTGACAGGAAATTCACCTATACATTGGTGCTGTTAAAATCTATGAAAATAACATATTTTCCTTTTCTCAAAATGACTAGTTGAACATAGTGATGTTCCAGAAGTTGACTAGTAGCAAATGCTGCAAGGTAAATGCTTGTTAAAGCTATGATACCAGTTATTACACAGTAGTTCTTAGAAATATATATGCTTTGGAGGCTTTTCGAGGAGAGCAAGCTAAAACTGTTTGTTTAATTATAATTTGCTTTCGGAGTCAATGAGGCTGTTCTTTATAAGGTGTAATCATGCCAAATTATAACAGATCTTAAAAGAAGGTTTGTATCATTATTAAGACATTAAAATAATTCTAGTTATAATTTATATTATTAACTCAATTTAAGATTTATATTCCAGGGAATTCTGACAAATACCTTCAAACTCATGTTCATATTATGAGAAAGTTTTAGAGTAAGAAAAATTAATGATCAAATTTTAGAATATTTTTCTAAAAGTTTTTCTAAGTCATTTGATAAGGACTATGACATCATTTCCTGTACTGAATGTATGTACCCAATATTAATAATGGACAAAAATTATTATCACTTAGAATATTTTATAATATAATGATTAAAATTAAAATACATGAATTTATATGAGGGTTGATTATTTTGCTCTGTATGTGAGCCAATCCACAAATTGATGGTTTCAGGGCCATTGAGAGCTGTTGTGATTTCCCCCACAGATATTATTCCTCTCGGTACTGTCTTAATGAAGATACAGGTTCCTTTATGTGACAATATTGGGTGTCAAGTGGATGGATGGGAGATATGCTCATGGCAGTTAAACAGTTTCTTCCTTTTGAGAACTAGAAAAACGACATAGGGATCCTGAATGTACAACATAATGTCTAAATTTGGTATTCAAGTGATACCTTCTTCCACATCTTTGTAAGAACATAATTTAAAGCATTGAGATGCAGAATAGTCTTATATTGTAGGAACATTGACAGCTGCATAGTACTATGCCTTTGGCAAACTTCCGAGTTATTTGGAAACAGACTGCTAAAATTACTTTTGAATTAAGAAGATAACAAATTTTTTGAAAAAACTTTCAAGGGATATATTTGGTAAAATTTTTGGAGAAGGTTATGGAGAAATACACACTTATGGATTTTTCTGCATTTTACATATAAACTATGAGATCCATGTGAGCCTTACTTCTACATGACACAGTGCCAATTTTGCTGAGAGTGTCCTTAGTTCATTAAGAGTTCCAGAACACCAGTAGGATCAACTTCAATACTTTAATTGGTATTGTGTAATTGATTTAGCAACAATGAACAAATGTTTATTTTTGTTTCTTTGTTCAACAGTGGTATCAGTGTGCTCTCTGCTGAGCCAGTTCTTAGCGTGATTTTAAGTATTGCTCCTGACCATGTAGCTCTCTTAGCTCTCTGGCTTGGTTCTTTGGTATCCTGGATTCAGTGGCCTGGAGGTCTCATCCATGGGGCTGGAATAACGGAGCTAGAGTCAAATTACAGAGTTGAGGAATGTTGTTTGCTTTGAAGATGATTTTTTGCTTTCTGAAAATACAGTCACTTTCAGAAAATCTTTACTAGGCATCTTATCCTCTAAATGATTCTACATAGGTGATGTTGGGGTGACGTCCATCTAAGCTGTATGGGACATTTGTTTGGTCGCTTTTATAACCTGTAAGTCTGTTAACTAGAGACACACTTTTAAAAAATTGTTCCAATTCTATGTTGTTATCAAAGAAACTCTACTTAGAAAAAAATTTTTAAATATTCTCAAAATTTAATGAGTTTCTTTAAATACTTGTAGCATTCTATGTTGACTTTTTACCTATTGATATTTGCCTGTCTCTGATTGCAAAAACAAAACAAGACAAAAAATCCATCTATAATTTCTCTAAGTTGGTAAACTTCTTGGGAGCAGGTAATTTTTCTCTCACTTTTTTTTATCGTTTCAGGATTTTGCATAATACCTTGCACATATATGACTGGAGGATGAATATATGCATGTATACTCTTTCTGCATAAGTCTTAGCTTTGTTGTGTATTTCAATAATTTCTAACAGTAGACATTAATATTAATACAAGTAACAACATTGGCTGCCAGGCATTGTCTCTAGTGTGTTGTGTACATCATCTCTTCTGATCTTCCTTTAGTTCGTCATTATTGAGGACAAATTAAGACTCACGTGGCTCATTTAATTGCCCACAGACTTCCTCCCCAGGCGACATTGCTTCTCATAGTTCCCGTAACAGTTTTACCTTCTCTACAGACCCCAAAGGATAATTTTTTAAATTCCTTTTTCTTCTCACTCAAATCCTGTTCAGGTCCAAATAAGCTGATTTTCTTAAAGTAGAATCCACGTAAAAGGTTTAAGATGGAATTTCTCATTTAATATTTTTTATGAACTCTAAGTTCCCTGCAAAATTGTTCAAAAAATTGATTCTGCTGTTACCGCCAAGGAAACCCGGCTTTAGAATTTCCCCTTATTATTTTCTTTACAAAAAAATTGATTTTTTGTTCTCAGATAATTTTTTCTTTAGATACTTATTATTAATATATTCTCTAAATATAAAAGCATTAAAATCAAAAGGGGCACTCTAATAAAGCAAATTATCTTAAAAATATCCATTTTTATTATTACAAAGCAAATTGGGTTATATAATGTATATTTTTACATGATAAAAAAGCTACACTGGATCCTACAATAGACACCGTCATCAAACATAGAAGCTAAGGAAAATTTTGGAAAATAGATGTGGTAAATT